CCCTTTCTACCTCAGACTGATGCCCCCATGTTGAGTTGCCCCAGGATAGGGGAGGTGATTGAGACGTTGAAAGTTAAAAGACCAATCACATAAGATTAATTAGAAGAAAAAGATAAAGAGACTTCATGACAATACATTGTGGCAGGCCTAATAGTCATATCCACACATCTGAAGGATTGTGATGAAGAAGAGCAGGAGTCGAGTTATTTTATATTGCTCCAAAGAACAGGACTGTGGTAGTTGCAGGGGACAGATATTGGCACAGTACGAGAAACCGTCCTATCAGGAGAATTGCCAAGAATCCAGCAGGCTTCCTGAAGTAGCAAACTTTTGTCTCCATGTGTGTTTAAGCAGGGAGAGGACAAGCGCCTGCAGGATGGAGTTGGTAGAACTCTACTTTGGGAGAGAAGTCTCAAGGATTCTAAGCATCCTTCCTTTTGTCTTGCTTTCTTTACATTTCCTTCTGGTGCATTGGGAATAATTGCTTTCATCTACTTTGTAGGAGCTAGGAAGGAGTCAGGGAAAGCTTTCTACATGCTTTGAGCTCTGTTGGTTAAAATTGCTTTGCAAACTAGAGTGCTACAACTTGGGGGTGCTCTTCTGGGGCTTCTTGTTGTCAATTTTAGCAAGTATTATTTCTGAATCATTGTGTGTTTTCATAGCATCTGTCCTCTAAGGATGCTACTTTTCAGTTATCTCTGAAGGTGGCCTGAGGGGACACACTCTTTATTTTTTTTGTTGTTTCTGTGTTGTCTTTTTTCTTGGGTACCCCTTTCCTGTTTCCTCGGGATGCTGAGAATGTATTGGACAAGTGCAAGTAAATGAAGCAGAGTCAGCTTAGAAATAAACATTCTTTCCCTGTCAGGAAAAAAACCACTTGCCTAGTCTGTCTAGATTTTAAAGTGTGATCCTTAGTGGCATCCTGCCATCCTCTATGTGCTGGTGTGGGGTGTACCATGTCCCCCGCCCTGCAGCACAAACTGTTCTTCCTGGAAGGCTGAGCACCGGCAGAGATTGTAGTGGCTACTTGCATACCAATGACCAGGAAACACCTCTTCTCAAACATTGCCTGCTCTCCTCTGGAGTTCAGGTAAGTCCACTCGCCTCTCCTGAGCTCACCCTACTCAGTGCTTAGTAGTGAGAGTTATAATTCCTTCTAACAGTTCCAGAATTTTTCTATAATGTGGAAAGACTCCCATTTGCCACTTAGATCTTTCAATTAGTGGGGGTCAATATAGATCTTTGAACCTGGGTGAGATGGTTCTGGTTCCCATGTAATTTAACATCTTTCAGCTGGCCCACTTACTCTGTACTGCGGATGCCTGGTCCCTAGCTGAGGCCAACGAATAGATAGCCAACGAACAGACAGGTTTAGCCAGTCATCACGTCTATCCCATCCTGCTGCTTTGAGTTCCAACCCTACTGTAAGCAGACATAGAAAGAGTTGAGTCCCTGATGTAGCCCTCAAGAAAGAGATGATCCAAGCATCCACTCTAGTTATAGGGCACTGATGATGTAAGTGCCTTCCCTTATTATTTTTATTATCTTCCTCTTTCTCTCACACATACTCAGATGCACACACAAAAAAACACACCCACATATAGAGCAGGCTGTACCCTCACTCAACTCCCCTAGTCTTTGTTTCTCCCTTTCCCAGTTTTCTTTCATTCCTAGAAAACAATGGCATTAATGAGGAAAGCCACTAACTCCACATAGCCTGATTGTAAAGAACTATGGCTGACATACTTCAATGAACTGTTGGCTTTGACATTTACGGAGCCAGGTCCCATGGTAATGGTATGAGAGGCAGGTTGGGTAAGATGCAGAAGACATTGGGGAATGAAAAACATTTGCTGGTGAAGATCAAGGGCTTACTTTCTGGAAAGGAGGTTTGTTGGTGAAGAGAGATGGTTGTATCAAGCGAAGGGTCAGCTAAGTAGTTTTATTTCAGAGTAGAAAGTGATACAAAGTTATACCAGGGGGAGCCAAGACTAAGAGTTATTACTAATTTTCTAATTCCTACCTCTAGAAAAGTTTTCATTATTTCTTTACTTTTGTTTATTTTTCCCAGATTTCATTCTACCCCAAAACAACACCAAAGAAGTTCTATAAGTTTTAACCATCTAAATAATGACACGATAACAATAACATTTATTGGTCCCTTATTATGTGACAGGAAATGTACCATACACATCTATTATCTCATTGAAATAATCTATATATGATGTATATAATTGTCACCCACAAATTACAGACGAAAAAAAAGAGAGATTTGGAGATGTTAAATGACTTTTCCAAGGTCACACTCCTAGATAGTGGCAGAACAGAATTGCACACTTTGACCTTTTAAATTTCAGGCCAGTGCTTCTTCCATTACCTTTTGGCTGTTCTCAATCTTTCTAGGTACAGAGGAAATGGTGGCGGCATTGAAAAGTTCTCTAATGTAAGAAGGAACTGTAGAAGACTGATCAATCAGAATTCCTCAATGGCAAAGGAGAGATTTAATGCACAACAAATACTATCATGACAAAAATAACACCTTAGACTAATAAATTCATTTATTTAACAATAGTTATTGAAAATATATTATGTAAAGGGCATTATTCAAGGAGCTAGAGATACATTGAGAAAAAAGAGACAATAGATAATTCCTCTTCCCTCATGAAGCTTACATTCTACTCAGATAAGATAGATAATAAAGAATGAAAACATTGTTAAGTGCTATGCAGATAATTAAAATCAGCCAATGGGATAGAATCTTAACATTATCAGATCTTAACGTCATCATTATCTTAACATTCTGAGATTTCAAGATCATTTATGGAGTCAGGTCCCATGGTAATATGTATATAATGTGTATATACACACATATGAAAGATGTACATCAAATGAACATAGAGAGTCCAGGTATAGACCCACATATATATGGCCAAGTGATTTTTTGTATCTTTTTTAGATTATTTACAATGCACACAGTCATTGCTTCCTAAGTTGACCAATGTACTTTCATCTGTGGTTCTGTGATTAGTTCTATGACAGCAATAGTGTCATTAAACTTTTTCCCTTTTCATACAATGCTTGGAAGGATTTGCACTTTTACAATAGCCTTTGTGTAGAAGAGGATATAAGTAAATATGAGTATTGTAGTGTAAGCATATAAAAATGATGGCATTGAAACATTTCTTTTTTTTAATATTAGAAAAATCGAAGACCAAAATGTGTTTATTTTAAACATCAGACATAAAGGAAATTAAATTCTGAGCAATAATAATGCTATAAACAAAAGTTGATGATTGCTCATCAATTGATTCTTGATAAAAGTGCCAAAGCAATTCAATGGAGAAAGGATAATCTTTATAACAAATGGTGTGAAAACAATTTATATCCATGTGCAGAAAAGACCTCAAATCTTACCTCATACCATATATAAAAATTAACTTGATATGGATCATCATAAACATAAACATAAGAGTGAAAACTAAAACTTTTAGAAGAAAAACTAGAAAAAAATCTCAGTGACCTTGGGTTAGGCCAAGGAGGCTGGAACCCAGTCAGTGAAGGAGTGAGGAACCAGTTGTGATGGAGAAGTGGACAGGGCTGATCATGCTCAGGTTTAATTCATTTGTCAAGAATGTTTTATAAAGTCGTTGAATACCTCTAGAAAGAGGTACATGGTGTTTGACTATCTCTTGATTTATGTTTTAAAATGGTCATCTTGGCTGTCATTTGGAGAATAGTTCCTAGTGAGGGCCAAGTGTAAAGAGGGGGTTAGGTAAGGAGGATTGACACTGTTAGACGGCTGGGATGGGAGCTACTGGGGCCTTGTATCAGTGTGGTATCAGTAGAGATGGAAAGAAGTGAACAGATGGAGGATATTTGCCTATCACTTTATGATTTGCAAAAGACTTTCAGATACTTTATCTCTTTTGGTTTTACAACAATCTTTGTGAGGTAGTAAAGATATAATTCCCATTTTGCAGATAAGGGAATTAGCCTCTGAAAATGTAGATTTGTTTCTATCCATACAGCTGGTAAATGGAAGGGCTGTGTGGGGAAACTCAGTCTTCTTGATACAGTAGAGATGTTGCTTATTTCCCTACCAAATTCCCTCCCCTGGAGCCAGAAGAAATCCCACACATGAGCATCATCGCCATAGCTAAATACAGTCACACTTTTTGGCTCTTTTCTGCTATAGCTCTATTTTGGGTTAATTTACCTCGTACTGACTCTCAAACAGTTTAACAGCTATTTCAGACATCTATTTCTGCTCAAAGATGCACTGCTCCTATTTTTGTAAGCCAGATGATGCAGAGAATAGGTAATGTGATAGGAAAACTTTTGCCCCTCATAAATCACTGACTCACGTCATAACCAGATTACCAGGGATCCAAATATGTACTGTCTAATGACATCTGTAAAGATGACAGCACACGATTATATTCCTCTTTGATGTTTTAATAGTATTTACACAAAATAAAGACTATTTATAAAAAAGATACAATATTAGATATTTTACAGATATTCTCTTCGCTATTTTTTGCCACAATGCTGATAGGCTCAAGGAGGTAAGTTATCCCAAATACTTAGAAAGTGCTTTGTTTCAATGTTTGAATGCAAGTCTCTAAGGCCAAAGGTCAAGTTCTTTCCACCATGATACTATTTATCCCAGAAGAAAGAGTAAAACAATTATGTACTTTCCTTCTTGGCATTTAGTATTTCCATCCCAGCCAGCACCAGCAGTGGGAAGCAGGCACGATTCCCCATAATTGAATACTTTAGTAAAGAATGTATAACTCACAAGCACTACAAAGTACAGTTCTTAGACTTTCTTCTAGATCATGCCTACAGTAAGAATCATTGATCTTCTGCAGGCGTGACACCTGTTTATTATTTTATTTTACATGACACCAGCACTCCTTCTCCCTACAAGTACTACATGAACAACTCTGCTATTCAGTGTAAGTGAATTAAAATTAAATTTTCCCATTTGTTCTTTTTAGGGATTTTGGCAAATGCTCTGGAAATTTGCAAGACCAGCGATTTGTGGACATCAGATCTATAGCCGGTAGCATTGTCAGCTGACAGTTTTCCAAAGAAGATAGGAAGTAATCAGTGCAAACTTTGTGGAAATTTGATTAATAAAAACCGAGAGCAACATTTAATCTACATTCAAGAAGAAAGATCTAAGTATTAATATTTATATTGAGAAACAGGTTTGGAATGTTGATAACATAAGTTGAATATAAATTGTTACCAAACATAAACCTCTTTGGGGGATTTTGCTTATTTTCATTATCAAATAATGGCAATCAGTTTAGTTTTGCTGGTCAGTGACTAACCCTAAACCTCTCAACCTAGCTGGGAATAGGATGTCAAGCTTTGGTAGTGAGAGCTAGATGGCACTATGGTGTAATTCTGTGGGGTGCCCAATTATGAAGAGTTTGTCTGATTGTGATGATAGAGGTTTCTGGAATAAGAAATTCAGCTCTGTTTTGCTTGTGTCTTCTCTAAGTGCAATATAGTACAACATAAAACAGAGCATTCTCTTCTGTCTTGCTCATTCACTCCTGCTCTTGATTTCTTTCTGTTAAGCTCATGTGTGTGACATGCACAGATACACACACACACACACAAACACAAACACACACACCCTTGTTGAGATTTTTTCTTTAAAAATCAACAATTAGGAGTATTTCAGACAAAAGGTGATATACACTTCTTCTAACCCATGTCCCTGATTCAGCATTTTGTTCCTCTAGTGACACAGGTGCTATTTATAGGTCACAAACAGGCTGAGGCCAGAGCCTACTATGTGAACAGCTTGTCATGTGGCAAGAAGGACAATGATTGTGAAATGCCCTAATCATATGAATTGGGGCATTCTTGTTATACCCTCCTAAAACAGGGTGGAGAAGCCAGAGGGAGAAAGCATTCCAAGCACCTGACATTGCTCTAAGAATGTAATTCTCTGCAAGCCTAGTTGCTGAAATTTCCTGCTGTAACCTGATTTGTCTAAGGGCTGCGGAAACAACCCCTTGTGTTTTACCTACTGCCTTCAGTCACCAACCAAATCCTGCCAACTCTCCCAGACCTTACTAGTGCCTGTGAGCTTTTTCAAAGGACAATATGTAACTTTTCCTTTATTAAAAAATAAAACCCCTAACCTCTTTGTTACTGGGACATACTAAAGACAGTCTGCATGTATGGCCTGAATTACCATTGTTTCCTCCCCACAAAATGGCTTAATTTCAGAGATTCATCCCTATACTTTATTTGACTTTGACAGTACTTTAGAATTGGAAGAAGACGTTAGCAGTTTCTCAGTTCAACTTCCCACTACCGGATGTTTGAAGTTCATCTCCTTAATTTTGACAGATATTTTATATTCTGATATTTGAGTCTATCTGCAGAAGTTTAGGTAGGCTAGGAAGAAGTTTCTGGTGTAGAAAGGCTGCAGATGGTGGCCATGTCTGTGCGTTCTCCTATAATAGAGCAAGACAGGATGAAACTGAAGGGCCAGGAGATTAACAAAATGGTACCTTCCAAGTGTGTGCTGCTATGTTACCTGGCATCCTGTAGGGGGAGCTAAGCCATTCAACAGCTTTAGCTGTAACATTTAAGGCAATGAGATCTTTTGTGTCTCACAACTACTCTTTCTTTACCCTCCCTCTGTAGCTACCCAGCAGCCAGAAATGTTCTAAATACGTCACCTGCCCTTGATACAAGAGGAACAGACTATTCACAGCATAGGAAAGAGAAAGACCATGATGGAAGAGGTGATTGTGTGAGGGCCTCTAGGAAAATTTCCCTTCCCTCATATTTCCCCTTCAACCTGTCTCAGGATCATAGACACCCATTCTCAGAGATAAAGTCTATTTCTGAATTAAGGCTAGTTTTACTCCACAGGAATTTGTCAAAATGCACGTCTTTGGTCACATAGTATGACTAGGTTTCCTGCAAGCAATTTAAAAGACAATGAGAAAAGTAAAAAGAGGTAAGCTATTGGAGTGCTGAGAATAGTGCTCTAAAAAAATAAGTGGGATGCTAGGTAATTTTGGATAGGAGGAGAAGTAATGACTGGAAGATGTAAGCGAGGTCTGGCTGCAGGAGTAGAGGTCTAAATGAGACATCTTGGGAGTCCCGGGTAACTAGAGGTTAGCTTGAAGGTGAAACATTGGGAGGGGGATTGGTATTTGTGAGGGAGGAGAGGGTCATCTGTGAGGGAGGTGATGAGGAAGTGTCAAAAATTACTTTACTTGGATCCAAGTTCTCTTGAGAACTTGTCCTGGCTCTTAAGGTTCTATCCTTATCATAAATAAACATTTAATTTTTTAGTATTTAGAAAATCCATTCCATGTAGCATTATTGTTGGGTGTCTCTTTAACATTCTTTTTTTCCACTCTTACTTCCTGACAGACTTGGTTTTGTTAGTATAAACAACCACCTCTGGAGAGCCATGTGTCTAGGGAAGGCTGGAGGTTGAGGGAGTTGACACTGATGCTCCAAGCCCATCAAAGTTGTTCTACTCACTTTAGGTGTGTCTGGTTCAGGGAAAATGATAATTCTGGCCACTGAACCATGAAGAAAAGTCTGTTGGGGGCTGCTAGGAAAAGTTAACTTGCTTTAACAAAGATACAGACAGAAAATGGTTTCTTCTTCCTCTAAAAATTTTCATGTCTGGATGATGTCACATCTGGAATTACTGTGGAGTATTGAAACCAGGAGATAAACTAGTATGAGGGCAAAATGACCCATCCAAAATGGCAGAACAGAGAGAGAGAGAGACAGGAACTGGATCCTAATGCTGTTAAATCAGCTGACTCTGCAGTCACCCTATCTCGAGAGTTCTTGCTTTGTGGCATAATGAACTTTCTTTTTGCCCCAGCTTTCTTGAGGCATACTTAACATAAAATTGTATATATTTAAGGTATATAACTTGATGTTTTGATAAATGTATACATTGTGATACAATCACCACATTCAAGCTAAGCTAATTAACATATCCATCACACACATAGTTTCTCTCTCTCTCTTTTTTTTTTTTTGAGACGAAGCTTCGCTCTTGTTGCCCATGCTGGAGTGCAATGGCATGATCTCAGCTCACCGCAACCTCTGCCTCCTGGGTTCAAGCGATTCTCCTCCCTCAGCCTCCTGAGTAGCTGGGGATTACAGGCATGTGCCACCACGCCCAGCTACTTTTTGTATTTTCAATAGAGATGGGGTTTCTCCATGTTGGTCAGGCTGGTCTCGAACTCCTGACCTCAGGTGATCCTCCCGCCTCGGCCTCTCAAAGTGCTGGGATTACAGGTGTGAGCCACTGCACTCAGCTAGTTTCTTTCTTTCTTTCTTTCTTTCTTTCTTTCTTTCTTTCTTTCTTTCTTTCTTTCTTTCTTTCTTTCTTTCTTTCTTTCTTTTTCTTTCTTCTCTTCTTTTCTTTCTTCTCTCTCTTTCATTTCTTTCTTTT